GCTTTTACACCAGGGCTCAACATTTTCACACTCCACTAGCCATTGGAAAGTGAAAATTTAGCCCTGACAAGTAGAAATCACTCCTGGTTAGTGTGCAGTAGCGAGTAACTTTTAAAAGCTGGCTAGTAGCCTAAGACTTATATTAAGATATATATATATATACATATAGATGCTGTAGTGCGTGTGGGGAGATAGAGAATGTAGTGTACGTTAGGATAAGGGCAATAATGTGGGGGGATAGCAGTTTCAGTGTATAAGAGGGGGGCAGGGACTAAATACCCCAGGGCTGAATACCCCAAAAGGGAACAAAAACCCTTCCATTATTATTTTTATCATAAATTATAAAAATAAATTAGACAAGGTGCAAGTGAATACTGAGAATGGACCACTCTTCAAATATTTTGCCTTTCGGTGGTCCCCAATCAGTTCTCGGGTTGGGTTTAACCCATCGAGGACCAATACCATTTGCCTATTAGACTGATCTTACCAAAAAGTGCAGTCCAGAACCAAGTTCCCTCTGCATAAATGATAAATTAACCCCAGACCATTGTTTCATCTTTGTCAAGCCTCATCATTGAGGTTTACCAGATACCCCACTAGGCACAGTGAGCAAGGGATCCATGTCTGGATTAACCTTTACCTTAGGGATAGGAAACAAACTAATACCTGTACCTCGGGCCGGGAGGGGGGAAATCCTGTTCCCTGGTGGTCCAGCGGTTGAAGCATCTGGTCAGCAGCTTCAGTGGGAGCTGACAGTATGTACATGGCAGCACTGTAGAAAGTATGAGAGCATTGCTGTGGTAACCCGAGGGAACACTCTGATAAACTGCCAGTAACAATTCATGCAGTCTGCACCCACTGGAGGGGCAGACTGCAAGTTCCTTGACCTGAAACTCCTATTGATAAAAGTTAGTCCTGCAAGATTTTCTGGTACTGATCTTAACATTGTTTGCAGGCCCGATGGCCAGTCTATTAGAATAGTGTTTAGCCTTACAATGAAAATATTACCGTATCTACAAAACAGCAATATTTTCTATTACAGGACTAAAAGAACAAGACAATTGCACCCAGACCACTTCATTGAGATGAAGTGGTATGGGTGCCTATAAAGGTACCTGAAAGGGCTAGAAATGGCCCCCGGACCGGTATCTTAAAACCCATTGTGCTAAGCAATATGTAGTTGTGTTTGTGTCTAGGAGTACAGATCTGTGCGTGTGCCTGTACACCTGGATGTACAGATCTACGTCTCCCAAGTGATACAAGGATTTCTACTGTGCCTTCCGCCTCCCCCGATACATTGAGTTTGTATCCTCTGACCTACAGCCATACTAGCTCAGCAAAAATAAAATGAAAGCAGATTGGATGGAGGTGGGCATGAAGAGCAAAAATATATTATTGTTTTAAAAGTAAATAATTTTTTTGAAAAAAAATAAATGAAAAAGAATTGATC